TACTGGAGATTGTAAGCTCCTTGCGACCAGAGACCTTCCCCCCTTTTAAACATCCACGGGCGTTCGTCACGGGCCGGCCTCCGTGATGCGGATTTCGGTTAGCCGATTTGGGGGCCGGAGGGGCAGCCTACGATACCCCCCCCTTTCCAACCACGTTGCCAAATGGTGCTCTAAACATCCCGGGGAATATTATTTTCACGGTGCATTTTGATGGTGCAAAAGAAACGCCCGCCGAAAGTCATCTTACCTTGCTGCGGGTCTGCTTCTCCCCGGTGAAGGGAACGGGCGCGCGTCGGAAGTGCAACCCCCCACCCCATGCAGTTTGCGAAAGATTTTTGTTCGGGCCCTCCTCGCCTCCGCACGCCCACCCCCACGCGCACGTGCAAAGAAAGTGCAAGGGCAGGTAATGTAGCTTGGTTTTTATTTATGTCCACAAATATTTCAAAAAAATTACAAAATACTCAAATGGAGAGAACACAGAATTCACAACTTCTGGGTTTTCTATTCTGCTTTACACTGTGTTATCTCATGGCAAACTACTCATATATACACTAAGCCTCAAGATATATATAAATGTAGCTGTCAGAAGGTAGAGCTCGAACCATGACAACACTGAACAAGAGACGGGTTGGTGAGAACCAAAAATCCACCAAAACGGGGAGGTGGGGGGGAATCAGAGCAAGGGGAAAAAAATAATAATAATTAAAAAAAGAGGGCTGGTTTTAAAAAACGAGAATGTTCTGCAAAAAGTTAACCGCGAAAAAACCAGGCGATTCCAACCGAGGAAGGTGATGGTTAAAAAGTTGGGAAGAAATAACACTGCCGTTAAAGATCCCCCCACCCTGGAATGATTCAGAATATTAACCGGAAAACTGCAAATAAACTCCAGTGGGGGGTTAAGCGGGTCGGTACCTTGCACTCGAGAACGCGTTTCTGCTCTCCGCGCTTCCCCCGAGGGGGTCTTCGCTCACCGATCCCCCCACCTTCCTTTGAGAAGAGGGGAAACCTGTTGAAATCCGATTATTTTCCTCCCTCGTGCACACGAACAGGAGGAGATGGAAGAAAGCTGATCCCAACCGTGGGCTATTCTGCTTTTTAGTGTTTTGCCCTCCAGAAATCCTGGCTGAGCTTCTCGCGGTTCTTTTGCTCCTTTCTAGCCTCAGCGTGAGACTAAGATAAAAGTTTGGAAAAGAACTTTTTCCTGCACCTGACTTGCAAAAACGTTTTCCGCGCTTCGCAGTCCCGTTCTTTCCCCCCCCCGAGGCTGGATGCAACTGTTCTACCTTGCCACGGCGGTGGGCAGACCCACCGGGTTGCCAGCGCCGACCCCACTGGCCGTCCACGCTCACTCCCACGCTTGGGGGGGGCCGGCCCTGCGGGGCCGG